TGCTATTTTGAAGCTCTTTAAATCTCCTCAAGGTTTACATCCTAAAACAGCCATCTATATTGAAGTCTGAAGAATACTATTCGAGAAGTCATTTTTTGTTCTGCATTTCAAGAGCATTGTTGTTACAAAGCCTTAAACATTTTTATAAAGATGCTCTAGCATTTGGAAATACATGTCTTTTAAAGCCAGCTTCAGGTTCCTTCTGATGGTTTTTATCAACCCAAGGTTTATAGTTGCATTTAAAAAAAAAAAAAGTTCCTGAGATACGGCTTTGTTCTCTTCTCCCACTTGAAAATAACTCCTTTTTTTCTTCTGATACTAACAAAGGTCTCCTCACATATGAATTTTTTTTTCAAGAGTTAAACATAGTTGCAGCTAAGTATTTAAAAAAAAAAAAGTTGCTATTCTTTTAACCATTTCCAAAATGCTACTGCCTATATGTTTTGGAACAGGAGCCAACATTCAACTTTTGCTGTAGAGTGCAGTCTGTGAGAAGCAGTCCTTGTTCTTAAGGAGGTCTCTGGGGGAAATACTAAGACAAGCAGTTATACTAGTTGTACTTTGATATGCACGTACAGCTAGAAATAGCATGTTGTGATAGCCACCTGTTCCATTATGTCTTTTGTCCTGGAGTTGTAGTTAAGTGCAAGAACATACATTGTTCTACAGCATCCCTTTATGCTATCATAAATGTATTTTATAATACATGCAAAACACAAAACAATCTTGTAAGTGTATCTTGAAAAACAAGATTTGTTTAATGTTACTAAAGCTATATGCACACGTTACTTTTCTCAGGCTTGGGTATCTAAAACAAAACCTATATTTGAGCTTCTTAAAAGTGGCCTTTCTCACATGTTTAACATCTCCAGAAGAGTGCTTTGAGGTAGTTTTGGCTACTGAAGGAAAAGCCTCTGAGGCAGAGAATGATCTCTGCTGTCAAACTGCAGCCATCCTTAATCCTATTCACTCCTAGCCCAAATCTCTCCCAGGCATATTTAGCATGGGAAGATGAAACTGTTTAGAACAAGATGACACATGCCTGCCTGCCAAGTATTCAAAAGTGGCTTTGGAATAAAAAAAAATCTTCTCAAGACAGCAGCACTTCTTTGCACTTGTCTGGAAGTTTGTAGATTTCAAACTCATTTGTACCTTGTAACTTGGTACAAATACCTTCCAGTTTTCCCTTGTTGCATGAAGTCATACTTTCAAGTTGTTCTTTCCCCATGGAGATTACCAAATCCTGCTGCTACTGAAGTCAATTGTCAATCTCACAGGGATTTATATTAAGCTGATACTAATCAGTGAATCTCATTTTTCCCTCCCCCCTCTTTAATAAGGGGAGATCAGACTCCTGTGGTTAATCATCCCAAGTGCTAATGGTTCATCTGAAATAGTTTACACAGGTTTCCTATGGAAGTGTGCTAGATATTAGAGCTAGCCTGCCCCATTGCAGTCCCTGACAAACACTTTAATGGTGCTTGAGTGCAAGCGCCAAATTAAGATGCTAAAATGAACAACCAGTTGCATACTGTATTCTTTCCTGGGGTTTCCTTCCTCCTGTGCATGACTGGATTGTTTGGTTTCAAGCAGCAGGAGAATGGGAATATACTGCAAACTTGCGCTGCTTGCAAAGGCACTGTTAATGCTGTGGAAATCTTGCAAAGGTCTGGATGCGGCAGGAGTTTTAGTCTGAGGAAGTAAACCTAAGGTAAGGTGTGGTGTGCAAAACTTAGAGAGGAACAGGAACAATAATACCACATGTTGACTTGTACCTGCCAGGACACCTCCACAGACTGATTGCAGAGCGCAGCCAACAGAGGCAGCAAACAGACGCAGCAGTTTGCACAGC